TTTTTTATGAATTCCTTATGAAGTCATGGGACTCTTAACACCTTTCCAATTTTCTACTTGAAGGAAGTAATTTGGAAAATGCCAAGGAAAGAAACATGAAGAATATTTAGCATAAACTAAAATCATTAATACTTCATGGGGGTAAAGAAACACACAAATCCATTCCAAGGCATTTAAAAGCAGCCACTATAAAGTCCTCTCTTCTGGGAGGGTAAGAAGGTCTTCAAAATTGGGGCTTAAATAGTCTTACTCAAAGGGCTTGGCAGAAATAGAACCTGGGAAACCCAAGGATTAGAAGGAAGTGGATGGTGATATTTGCATGACTTTGTTTTAATTGCTCTTTGTAGCCTTAGATTCCCACTAAGCTTCCCCCCCCCCCCACCTGGCTCCCCCTGCCCCCACCTGGCTCCCCAGGGACCTTGGTCAGAGGCTCTTCCTTTATGCTCTTACTTGCTGGGATCAGTGGTGCCCTTTCAAAGTATCTTTCATGTCAGAGTTGCAAAACCTAGCTTTGAAAATAGGTGGCAGTATCAGTTGGCCCCATTTGTTTTAAACCAGTGAGGCCCAAGGTCAAGAAATCCTTGGGATAACACAAGAAAACCACCACAGGCACAGGGTTCTCCTGTTGGCAAATGTCTGAGACTATTTTTTAAATTCTTTATTGTTGAAAGTATTACATATAGTATGACATATGTCTCCTTTTCCCCCATTGACCTCTCCTGGCCATCCCCACCACCCCCAGCACATGCCCTCACGCCCACCCCTCCCCCCCACCCCCCCCCCTCCCCCGGTGTCTGTGCTCATTGATTCTTCTTACATGTCTGGCTTTCCTCTCTGCTACTGCGCCCCCTTGCTGAGCACTCCAGACGCCCTCCATGGTCATCGCTGTCCCGAGGCTCATGGTGCTGGAGGGAAGGACTCCAGAGAGCTAGATACATTTGGAAGCTTAATTCTGGAGCCAAATCTTAGTTTCAGCTCCGGTTTTGCAATGTTGGGCAAGAGACCTAAATTCAGCATCTTCCTCTTTTTCTCTCCACTTAATTTTTTTTTTAATTTCCTAAACTCGGTTCCTTTCTTCTTTTGCCTCCATTTTTCTATTTTATCAAAGTAATGTGAGCATAAATTATCAAAAACAACAGAAGTTTTTTTAACTGGCTTTTTCTTAAATGATTTCCCAGATTAAGCAACTTTCTCCCTTCCTTCGATATAACCTACTGACTGATGTTCACAGCGGACTCACCACAGGACCTCACCTGCTGTCCCTCTAGTCTACCTGTGGACTTCTGGCCCCACCTGTGAACTGCTGACAGCCCCATGAACTTCTGACCCCACTGTGAACTTCTGACCCCATTGTGAACTTCTGATCCCTCCCCCTATGAACTTCTGACCCCACCTGTTGACTTCTGACCCCACCTGTGAACTGTTGACCACCCCATGAACTTCTGACCCCGCCCCCTACAAACTTCTGACCCCACCTGTGAACTTCTGATCCCTCGTGAACTTCTGAATCCCCCCCCGAACTTCTGACTCCACCAGTGAACGTCTGATCCCACCTGTGAACTTCTGATGCCTTCCCCTACCCCCATGAACTTGTGATCCCACTGGTGAACTTCTGGCCCCACTTGTAAATCTCTGACCCCAGCTGTGCAGATGTACATGGGCCAAAAGTCTGTTTCCAAGCCTGCTGTGCCAATTGTACTTGTTCATATAGTTATTAGATTCCATTATCTAGTATGTAAACCAATGACACATGGATGCATAAAAGCATTGCTATTGCTATGATGTTAGTTTGGAAAGACCCGATAAAGATGAGTTACTGAAAATAAAATGCTACAGAAGTAGGTGTTAAAAAATAATGGTAAATTTTTAGGAAAGAAGCTCAAAAAAATCTAAAAAGATTCTGCTTTGTGTCTTTAAGTCCTCAATTCACTTTAATGAAAGTGAAACTGGAAAATATAAATGAGGATGAGGATGGGTGGGGTTGTGTAAATGGTGCAGAACTGGAAACCCATCCTCACAGTCCACCTGCAGACGTGGGTTGGGCCCAGGGGCCTCTCCTGGGTGAAATTCAGCCAGGCTCACGGGAAGTACACAGCAAGAGGCTGGTATTACACAGGGATTCAGCGCATGTCAGTGTTATTGCTACTTGTCTAATGTGCATCAGGTAATTTTAGAACAAAAGAGAAAAAGAAGGTGATGTTAAACCAAATCAATTTCAAAAGAAGATATTGGGGGAAACCTTTAAATCCAACAACCAAGCATTAGACAGCAAAGGACCAACACTTCACTGTAGTCAATTTTTTGGCACCAGAATACTTGTGTGTAAAATTAAGAGGGTATTGATCATCTGATTTCTGAGCAGTTTAGCCTGGATGGGAAAAACAACACATGAAATGCATCCCTGCTTCCATTTTAACACCAAACTGCCCCGTGGCTTTGGAAAGCTGTCCTGCCTTCCTCTGAGGCTGTATCCTCTGTGAGATAAGGACGATGATAAACAATGTATGACGTGGCCAGAAGAATTGTTCTGAGAGAGGTGCATTGTGGTCATATCTCTGTTCTCCCCCGGAGTGTGAGCTTTGCCTGCTCCAGTGTCTGATCGTGCTGCCTGGGGCTCTCAGCCCCTCGGAAAGGACCACAAAGTGCTGTTTTTTTAAAGAATTCATTTCCTGGTCTCGCTCTCTCCTATCAGGACCCATTAGCTTAGTAGGGGGCTTAGCCACGTTGCCACGGGTGAAATCCTCTTTCCGGCCCAAAACAGAAAGGACTCAGAATGCGATGAAGAAGAAAGATGGGTTTCATTGCAACATCTATGCCACGAACTTAAGCCTTTGATGCTGTACTCCATGGTGGATGCATTAGTTAGTGTGTGTACGCTGGAGATGAGGCTTAAACTCTTACTTACTCAGGGGTCTAGCCAAACCCAGGGAATCTGTGTCAGGTGAAACATGCTGACATTTCAAACCATTTCCATAGCTGACCATGGAAGTAAATGCTTAGTCATTTAATATTTATCATGTGGTAAGGAAGTCAGTCTGTGCTGATTCTGAGCCCACATCCTAGGTAGTTGTTACATTAAAAAATACATGGAAGCCAAAACCAGTTTGGCTCAGTGGATAGAGCATCGGCCTGCAGGTTCAATTCCAGTCAAGGGTATGTACCTTGCTTTGGGTGCATCCCCAATAGGGGGTGTGCAGGAGGCAGCTCATTGATGTTTCTCTTTCATCGATGTTTCTAGCTCTCTATTCCTCTCCCTTCCTCTCTTTAAAAAATCAATAAAATATATTTTTTAAAACACATGGAAGAGCAGTGATTGAGAAGGCACAATGAAAGCCTTGAACGTGCTATCTCTGCGATTACTATTATTGGGAGGGGGAGAGAGGATGCTTTTTTTAAGAGACAGTTCATAAATACAAAAAGTAATGGCATTTACTTTCCTGTCTTTTTATAAGATCCTTAAAATCAATATTAATTCTTGAAGAGAAATGTTAACATTTAATTCAGCACATATTTATACATGACACTCATCTAGGTTTGGGAACTCATAAAGAAGAGTAAGGTTGGGTCATTCTGATCAAGCCTGACGATCATGATTTCAGCAAGTTTGCTATGTAGAGTTGAAGACGTGCATTCATCTGGCTAATATACTTCGGTCTGCAGCATGTGGAGAGCCAAACTAGACCAGGGAAGAGAATTAAGGCCCCAAGTGTACACTTTGATTCCCTCAAGTCAGCCTCCTGAAACCCTTGAGAAGCTGGAAAATGGCACTTTCCGAAGGCTGGGAGGGGGAGAAGAGGAATTGCTATTCAGCGGATGTCAAGTTTCAGTCTTGCAGGATGGAAAAGTGCTGGAGACCCGCGGTTAACTGACTGCATCCTGCTTATCAACGCTGGCTAAGAGGGTAGATCTCATGGTTGAGTTTTTTCCATGATAAATTAAAACAATTGGTAGATGACCTCACACTTTTTATTTGAACCATCGCAGACATGGGGGGAAAGCCTTTCCTGACCATACTTTTAAGGAAATTACGTGATCATCATAAGCCAGGGAGCTTAAAAGCAATCCCTGATGAGAACAGTTTCTCATGTCATTGGAAGCAGCTTCCCAGACTCTCCTTAAGAGAATGGGGAGCAGCTGCATTTGACCTTTTGAATAATTATTTTTTCCATCTGAATTTAATTTCCTTCCATGGTTACGTATCAGATTACATAAGCAATCACAATATGCTAGATAAAATCAGTTTTGCATGGAGGAAGATTCTGGATGCTAGCCTAAACAATATTCTTGCCACAAAGCCATGAAAGTGTAACCTTAATCACGCTACTGTGACACGGGTGGACAAGTGAGTCTAGAGTTACCATCACATCAGAGTGGGTTGAAGCGGTGGATTCCCTATCAGGTTCCAACCCATGGGGCTCAGTTCACTGTAGGACTCATAGCTTATTGATGAGCAATACAAATGGCCTAGAAATGCCTTCATTAAAATGCAGAAATTACTAAACCAAGTGGAGCTGCTAAGACCTTATACCCGGAAAGTAATGACAATACCATTCAAAATACCATTTTTATATTTTTAAAATCATTCTAGACAAAGAATAAAATTTAACCTACATAAGTATAAACTGGCATATTTTAACACAAGTGCAATTTAGTGAAGGAATGATTTAAAAAGCAAGTGCCAAGCCTGACGATCATGATTCAGTGGTTGATTGTTGACCTATGAGCCAGGAGGTCATGTTTTGATTTTCAGTCAAGGCACATGCCCAGGTTGTGGGCTCCATCCCCAATGGGGAGCGTTCGGGAGGCAGCCCATTAATGATTCTTTCTCATCATTAATGTTTCTCTCTCTCTCTCCCTCTACTTCCTCTCTAAAATCAAAAAATATATATTATCTAAAAAAGCATAATAAATAGTAGTACAGATGTCATAATATATACAAAGTCATTTCAATGTCTTTGGATGTGATGCTAATATCGGAATTCCTTTTCCTTCTTTTCTAGGGTGGGGGCCAGTAAATGACCTGCAGCCTGTGCCCCGAGTCAGTGAGTAAACTCTCAATAACCTTTGAACCTTGGATAGTTATAGATAAGGAAAGCAGCAAATGCAACATCTGAGCGCTCCACAGGGTCGCTTTTAAATGCCTGCTCTTACCGTGGTGACTGTCACCAAAAAGCACAGCCGGCGGCATTGTTGGGGTGTGATGTCCCAGAGGGAAGGGGAGAGATGCAACCGTGATTCCTGCCCTCACGAAATTTACAGAGGAAACCAGACTTCTAAGAGAGATCCCAGTCATACCTCGCTTAATGAATAAGTGATGTTCCGACTATTTAAAAGAGTTTACATTTTTCCTTTAAAAATATTTAACACTTCCCCGAAACATTGGGCTTTGGTTTTCAGAAATGCCTTCCTCTGAGAATACAGAAAACCTTACTAACTCATGTACTGCTAATACATAATTTGTGACCATTTGTCCGAGATCACCATGAACTTGACCTTTGACTTGTGTCCAAGGAATGAACTTGATAAGATAAATAGAGGCAACATCTATAACTTATTCACAAAGAATAATTATTTTCATGGCTTTAGCATATGGTCTTTAGGCAAAAAGATTCAGCTATAAAATAGGAATCCATGTCATTAAATAGATGTCTCTTTAGACAGACTTTATTGGCAGATCATGGTATTGAAAGTAATAAAACACTGTTACTTTCAATAAATTCCGGCTTCCATAATTCAGGCTAGCTTCTTTCTTTCCCCCTACCTCCCCAAACTCATTATTCCTATCTAATGAAGTTTACTGCTGTGTTAATATGTGAACATAAGCATTTATTAATAGAAGATCAATACTTCTTGTTCTATATTTTATATACAAATATAAATTTTAATATTTTGGATGCTTATCTATGGCATTAATCACATAAATGACATAGAGTATTTACTTTTACAAGAAAAATTATGTATCATTTCCCTTCCTTTTCCATGATTTTCATATAGTAGATAATTTTTTCTTAATTTAAAACTCAATATTTTCACATAGCAGGCAAGATAAATTCCCAGAATGATAATGAAGATTCATGATGAGAAAAAAATAACCCCAAATCAGATCATATCCTCCTTGGGCATATTGAAAAATTGGAGCAGTAACAGAATTACTATTCACTCATTCATTCATTCAACAAACACTGAAGGGACATGCTTATTGCTTCAAGGTGTGTAGAGATAAATAAAATTCTCATCTCATCTTTATTGTGCTGACAGCCCATAAGTTGAAACAGAGATGAAGACAAATCCTTTTTTCATGTGATAAGTGATGTGTTATTCTTAGAAACAACCTGCTTTGGGAGCATGGAGAATATATCATTAAATCTGACTGGAAGGATTGGGGAAATATTCATTACAGGTATAACATTTGAGCTCATTCTTAAAGAATAAATACAATTTCTACAAGTAGAGAAAATAAGGACAACATTTCAAGTCAGTATGAGCAAAAGTATGGAGATATGGCATTTCATAAATTGCTGAAGAAAAACAAGCATAATTAGTTGTAGAGAGCTGAGAGTGTGAAAGCTATATAGGGTATATATAAAAGTATATTGCTGTGAAAATGCGCCCTTACTTAGCAATTAGAAACAATTGGAGCTCAGGGGATGATTTATTTGAAAGTCATCTGTAGACCATTGTTGAAATGTGAAAAACCCGAGACAACTGAAAGAACTTTTAGGAACACAGAATAGAATCAACTCCCTGAGACAGGGGGAGAGGGGGGGTCAAAAAAGATAAACTTTGAGGGCAGACATAAAGACACCTCAGAGAGTTTATGTCTGAGAGCTCCCATTTCCTTTATACTATGCTGTCAGATAAGCATGGGCTGCAGACTAGGAGGACACAAGTTTGAGTCTCAGCTCAGCTGCCCACGAATGATGTCCCCTCTCCTGACTACATTTCAGTGTTATCTTCTGTAAAATGGGGGTGGCAGTCTCCTTTAATTCTCAGATTGGAGAACTGTGTAATGCATGTGAGAGCATGTTCTAAACGATAAAGCTTTCTATGTTGAGAAGCAAACTGAGATGTTGGTCAGGATGCAGAGTGAGCTCTTGTCCATAGAGAGGGGATAACAGCACGTTCCTTGTATGCACAATGCGGGTTATTAGAGATAAGGCATGTCCAGTGTATTCACATGCAGGTGCTCTACAGATGGGAGCTGCTAGACTATCCTCATCTGAGCAGGAGCTTGTCTTGAGGAGGGAGAGAAACATCTCGGTGGGGAATGGAAACAGGACGGGACATGGAAAGATGTGTTGATGCAGAATGTAGAGTTTATTCTGAAACTCTGGTTTTGCATGTCCCGTTATCCCTGTGAGCTCCAGAGCGGCAACAATGGATGATGCGATGAACCTGGGGCTGGAGGAGGTCAAAGGAAGTGCTGTGTTCCAGCAGAGGGGTGCGCACATTCAAGGGCAATGCCTTCCTCCATATGACAGCTGCCGCCGCGTGTGGTTTCTCCCCTTTTTAAATTAAATATGCTGGGGTGACACTGATAAATATGATCACAGAGGTTCCGGGTGTGGCTTTCTGTGTTACAAGGTCTGAGCATTGCACCGCGTGCCCACCTCCCAAAGCTACATCTTCTCCAGTCCCCATCCATCAGGACCCTCTCCCCTCCCACCCTTCCCCTCTGGCAGCCGCCGCCCTGCTGTTTGTGTTCCTAAGTTCCCGTTGTACATCCCACATCAAAGAAAAGACACATGGTTCTTGGTTTTCCTGACGGACTTTCCTCACTCAAGATAATGTTCTCGGGTCCTCCATGTTGTTGCCAATGGTGCTGATCCACTCTTACTAGGGGCTGATGGTATTCCGTGTGTACACGGACCACGTCTTCTCTGTCCGGTCCTCTATCACGGGACACCGTGGCTGTTTCCTGCCTTCGCCACCTTTTCCCCACAGCCTCCCGCACTTCCTGTTGTCTTGTTGGTACTGGCCCCCCATGCGTGTGGGATCATATCTCACTGTAGTTTTGATTGCATTTCCCTGGTTGCCAATGAGGCTGGGCGTCTTTTCATACATCTGTTGGCTCTTCCTATGTCTTCTTGGGAGAGGTGTCTGTTCAGGTCCCCTGCCCGCCTTTTGATTGGGTAGTTTGTTTGTTTGGTGTTGACTTTTATGAGTTCTTTCTATATTTTGGAAATTAAACCTTTGTCGGAGCTGCTGTTTGCAATTGTCATCTCCCATCAGGTCGGCTGCCTCTGTGTTTTCTTGTCTGTTTCTTTTGCTGCGCAGACACTTTTCAGTGTGACTCAGCCCCCTTCCTTTATTCCTGCCTTCCCTTTCCTTGCCTTTGGAGTCAAGTTCATACCATGTTCTCTACCACCTAGGTCAGTGGTTGGCAAACTGTGACTCGGGAGCCACATGTGGCTCTTTGGCCCCTTGAGTGTGGCTCTTCCACAAAATACCACGGCCTGGGCGAGTCTATTGTGAGGAAGTGGCATTAGAAGGAGTTTAAGTTTAAAAAATGTGGCTCTCACAAGAGATTTCAGTCGCTGTGCTGTTGATATTTGGCTCTGTTGGCTAATGCGTTTGCCGACCTCTGCCCTAGGTCCATGGTTTGGTACTTACCTTTTCTTCTATGTGACTTATCGTTTGGGGGATTATGTGTAGGTCTTCTGTCCATTTTGGATTCCTGTTTGCACCTGGGGGCAAACTGTAATCCAGTATCATTCGTTTACATGCGTCTTTCCAGTTTTCAGCCCCGTGGGTTGGAGAGACTGTCTTTGCTCCGCGTGTGTCTGGCTCCTTTGTCAGAGCTTGTCTGCCCACACACATCGTGTGGGGTTCGAAGGAAGAGCCGCTCCTGGCCGCACTCCCCTGTCCTGTCCAGCGGGTCATACACCTGTGCTCACACTCGGAGCTTTGCATGTTGTCCGTGTGCTCTCAGCAGTTCCCGGAAGAGGTGGCTGGGAGGTGGACCCCGTCCTGTGCACATTGGGCTCCAGAGGGGGAGGCGCATCAGAGTCCATGAGCTCTGCAGGGGTCAGAGGTACAGCTTCCGTTCTGTTCCTGGCCACCAGCCCCCTGCCCAGGCCGGCGTGCCAGGGCCTTTGCCAGGGCTCACTGTGCTGGCTTCTCTGCACCAGCTTCTGGGGAAGGAGGAGGCTTGAGAAGGTCAGGGTGTGAGCCTCGAGGTCAGGGTCAGGGTTAAGGTAAGAGGGGGAAGGGGAAGTCAGGCCTAAGGGTGTCGCTGTCCGTGTCCCAGAGCAGCCTGCCCTTGCCCACGCCCAGGGCATGCGGCGATGGCCAGGCAGCACGTGCGAGTCTGTAAAGTGGGGGCTGCCCAGGCTGGAAGGGGAGCAGGAGACTGTTCAGCAGCCTCTGAGCTCAGGGGAGGATTCAGCCTTACCGATCGGACAGGAACTGATGAACGTGGTGATGGAAAAGGTGCAGCACAAACCTTTCAATTCGCAGCCTGACAGTCTCCACTGAAAAGCCCTCGTGCTGTAAGATTGAAAAATAAAAAAGGTGTTCCTGCCGAAACCGGTGTGGCTCAGTGGATAGGGAGTCGGCCTGTGGACTGAAAGGTCCCGGGTTCGATTCCGGTCAAGGGCATGTACCTTGGTTGCAGCCACATCCCCAGTAGGGGGTGTGCAAGAGGCAGCTGGTCGATGTTCCTCTCTCATCGATGTTTCTAATGCTATCCCTCTCTGTAAAAAAGAAAGAAAGAAAGAAAGAAAGAAAGAAAGAAAGAAAGAAAGAAAGAAAGAAAGAAAGAAAGAAAGAATATATATATTAAAAAAAAAAAAAAAAAGGTGTTCTTTGCCAGCCTTGCCTACTCCCCACAGACACCAGTAACCACACAGCTTGCAAATTCTGCCCAAGCTGCTGCACTCGCCCCATCCGTATGACATTGCGGGAGGTGTTGGGATCTTCTCCTGTTGGGGAGGGGGGAGAGGGCAGGTGCACATCATTCTCATGGGCAGCCGTCCACAAAGCAGCGGGCAGCTGGCCCTGCGTGTCGCTGTCCTCGGCCAGGTCTCCCGGTCCCTCAGCC